AAAAAAAATCGAAAAAATAAATGGGGAAAAAATTCGAAAAATTCGAACCCCCAACAAGACTCAAAAATTCGAAACAAAAAGAAATTCGGCCCCTCAACAAAAGGTAATAACCGAAAAAAAATAAACAAAGGACTAACAAGTTGACACTTTTTTTATTTTTTATTTTTTTTTAATGAAATTTCGAAAATAAAATTCGAAAATTTCGACACAAAAATAAGAGAAATTCGGTTCCCTCACCAAAAGGCAAAACCAAAAAAAAATAAAGATAAGATAGACAAAATATCGATCAGCACCTCTCAATGAAAGCACCAATGATGACGGATCGATCTTTTGTCTATACTGGGTTGCGAATAAACGACGCACTGAGGCCTTCGTTTATCCCCGATAGATGTATCTAACAGACGCACTACGGCCTTCTCCTAGATACCGTGACTTCAAGACGCACTATTGGCCTTCTCTCCGACACTGCATGTAAAGACGCTCTAATGGCCTTCTTTATCACACGTTAAGAACATGAGTTCCCCCTCAAAATTGGCTCACCAATTCAATACTTCATTCAACATGTAAAATATGATGAGGTACATGGGGTATTTATAGTTGTAAAATAAGCCTAAGCCTAAATCTAATAGATCTCCTAAATCATGCAAGAATAGAAATCCTAAGTCTAGAAAGCAATAAAATCCTAAAGCTACCAAAATACTAATGCTTGGCTTGCACACCAAGCAATTCTAGAAGCTCCCTAATTATACACATGCTAAAACTTCCTCACGCCCAAACTCCTTCGGCCACTTCTTACGCGTCGCGCGCGTGCCACCTGCGCGCGCCGCCTCGCCATTCCTACTCCTCGTTGCGCGCGGTAACCCGCGCGCTTACCCCCCACGCGGCGTCCTTTACGCGCGCGCGCCATCCGCCGACTCCACCATGCGCGTGTGTGCCCAGCGCCCTCGCGTCGCCTAATCCTCCCATGTCTAGGGCACCATCCGCGTCATCCCACTTGCGTGCTTCCGCGCACGCCCCGCACCTGCCGATCTTACCCGCGCCCGTGCATGCGCGCCCTTGGCGCCTGATCCCTTCTCCGCATGAACCCCGCACGTCTCCGTTACCATCCCAGCCCAGACCGCCTACGGCGTTCCCGCGTACGCCCGCGCACCCGTCCATCTTGCGCCCGCGTTCTCCCCGCCAAACCCGCATGCGCGGCCTGTTCGCCCACTCGTGCGCATCAAGTGCCGATGCGCACCTTTTGCCTTTTCGCTCTTTACTAGACTTGCCGGACTCCAAAGCCACTTCCGTATCAACAGCGCCCAGCGCGCCCAGCGCGCGCAGGCAGCGCCCGAACAGCGCGCCCAACAGCGGCCAGCCACCTCCCAAAGCCATTTTCTTGAGTTTTGACCCATTTTTCTCCAATTCCACGTTCATGCATGTATTAATAAGTGGATTAGGAGTTATTTAAGCCATTTTTCGCGCGCGTTGTGTCGCGCGCCCAGGAGCGGCCAGCCACCTCCCAAATTCGAAGAAGATGTGCCCGACGTTTGGATGATTGATGATGAATCCTTGAGGACAAGGATAGTCTCAAAGGGGGCGGGAATGATGCGGAAGTGGGATCTGAGCCACGACGACGAGAAAGTTCAAGAGCCGAGAGGACTCGAGGAGGCTGAAAATAGGGCCAAAACGACGTACGCATGGCCCAAAAGGTGAGTACGAGCTCGTATGCGGGGCACTCGAGCACATGAGAAGTGGCACGTACAAGGCAGTAGACAAGGGCGCGCACACGCGCATTGGCGTAGAAGCGCATGGCGCTTGGAGATTTGGCGAAGAGGCGCGCAGGGGGTGGATGTTGGGTGGATGATGCGCGCGAGGGGTTACTGTGGATGGATGAGCGTGGCCAAGGGACGAATAAGCAAATGGCGCGCATCGGGCCATGATGCGCGCAAAGGGTCGAAGGGACGAGACGATGCACGAGGGAGTGGTGTCGAGATAACGGGTGCGGGCGATACGCACAACGCGCCAGGTGTGCACGGGTGCGCGAAAGGCGAGCGCGGGGTCCTGGGCGGCACGCGCGAGACAACCGGAGCACATGGGCGCGCTGTAAGAGATCTGGGCTCGGACGTTGGCCGGGACACGCGCGAGGAAGATAGCTGGGAAGGGACGTGCGCATTGGCGCGCGAGTATGAGGCAAACGCGCGAAGCCTAAGCCGCGCGGGCTTAGGAATACCGGTTGATGAGATGCACGCGTGTGAGGAGGTCGGCGCACGGACAGCGGGCGTCGCGGACGAGGCGTGGGAGTCAAGCGCGCGGGTTACCGCGCGCCACGAGGAGTAGGAAAGGCGAGGGCAGCGCGCGAGCTGGCAGGCTGATACGGAAGTGGTCATCAACCCCGGTGAGTCGGACGATGAAGGTGAGGATAGTCTCGTGTTATGGTTAGAGAACGTGTTGGAAGAGACATCAAGCCCGAATAATCGACCATCATGTGTAAGAGACTGGCCAAAAGGATATGGTCCACGGGCTAAGTTAAAGATCAAGAAGCGTCGGGCCAAGAGACAACGCAAATCAAGGGCCCGAAAAGCAAGTCAATGCAAGTGCAAACCTTGTGCAAAGAAAAGACAAGCTCAAAGGAAAGAGGCTAAGAGGCGTGGTTTGCGATGGGAAAAGAATGGTTGGTGGATACCGGCGGAGGATTGTGTAAGGTTGAATGGATGGGACCCATGGCCCGAACCAATGGTGGTGACCGCCGACGAGAAGAAGGACAGCGAGCGGCTAATGGACGAGTGGCGCGCATCGGCACATGATGCGCGCGGTTGGGCGATCGATGACGATGCACCAGCAGCGGACGTACGGGCCACGGGAGTTGACGAGCGGGCGTCGGGCAGCGAGGACGTGACGCAAGCTGGATGTGCGATAGGTGACCAGGTCGCGGGGATGGCTAGGACGGGCAGTAACGCGAACAGTACGCGGGGATGCACCGTAGGCGATGAGGGCCAGGGCGTTAGCACGGACGCGCGCGAAGAAGCCAACGGGGGCAAAGCGCGCGATAAGCGCGCGAGTACAGGTGACGCGGAAGGTAGCCGTGGCCTTGTGGGCATCGGACTGCCGAGCGCGGGCGCACACGCGCGGGAGGTGAGCGACAAGGACGGGGCATGCGCGGTGGCGCGCGAGTGGGCGACGTGCGCAGACGCATGCCTAGGCGCGGGAGGATTAGGTGAGGCAGGCAGCACGTACGCGGGCAGTGTGCGAACGGGAGAAGACCGTGTCCTAGCGGGCGTAGGACTACTAGGCGATGGCGGGTACGCGTGCGGGACAGACGACACAAGCAAGGTGCGCGCGTCAGCGCGCGCGGATGAGGGGCGCACGCGAGG